CGGACACTGTATCAGCGGACACCGTATCAGCGACTCGTATCAGCGGACACTGTATCAGCATCCTCCGTATCAGTAAATCCCCCCTAGTATGATGGATCTGCACCAATACTGGCGTAATCGTAGCCAGACCGACTCCTCTGTATCAGCGACTCGTATCAGCCACTTGTATCAGCGGCTCTTATCAGCGGCTCGTATCAGCATCCACCGTATCAGCTTCCCCGTATCAGCGGCTCTTATCAGCATCCTCCGTATCAGCATCTCCGTATCAGCTCCTCTGTATCACCGAGCCTCCGTAACAGCATCCTCCATAACAGCAGCTCGTATCAGCGGCTCGCGTATCAGCATCTCCATATCACTGGATCATATCAGGATCTTCCGTATCAGTGAGCGGACGCCGTATCAGCATCTCTGTATCAGCAGACGCCGTATCAGTGAGCTTCCGTATCAGTGAGCCTCAATATCAGCACCGGACGCCGTATCAGCATCTCTGTATCAGCAGACGCCGTATCAGTGAGCTTCCGTATCAGTGAGCCTCAATATCAGCACCAGACGCCGTATCAGCAGCTCCTCCGTATCAGCATCTCCGTATCAGCGGACGCCGTATCAACAGCTCCGTATCAGTGAGCTTCCGTATCGGCATTTCCGTATCAGCAGACGCAGTATTAGCGGATGCCGTTTCAGCGGACGCCATATCAGCGGACGCCGTATCAGCGGACGCCGTATCAGTGAGCCTCCTCCGTATCAGCGAGCCTCCATATCAGCAGAGCGTCCTCCGTATCAGTGAGCCTCCGTATCAGCATCCTCCTTATCAGCAGCGAGCCTCCTCCGTATCAGCGACTCGTATCAGCGGACACCGTATCAGCGGACACCGTATCAGCGAGCCTCCATATCAGCAGAAGCCTCCGTATCAGAAGCTCCTCCGTGTCCTTTTTTTGAAGGAAATAGTGATCAAATAACGTGCTAGTTTGCAGCTCCATACTGAGTTGTGTGAATGAACAGAACCACACACACTACACGTGGTTGTATTATTGCACACTCTACGTACGTTCAACGGTCGAAAATGCAACTCAAAATGCTGGTGAATCACACCAGTAAGAAAAAAAGCAATACTGTTTTAGTTGGTTAATTTACACACAAATTTTGGTATACTGTTGCAAAAACAGGAATATTGGTCTCCGTACGTAGAAATATATGGGGTAGGGCATATTCAGTATTGTTTTTGCGGTGCCTTGAGGCAATTACGATAATGCAATTTTAGTTGCAAAATACCAATACTGTAGGAGTATAATGTAGGTTCTGTTGGGCCCTGTTTCTTACATCAAAATTTGGTCACCAGCTACTGTAACTTTGGTGAGATAGTTCTAAGCTGAAATAGCATCCAATGGGTTCCCAATGACACAGACATCGAAGTGATTATATCAATAACTACTGGGCGCTTAGTGCAGTCATCTAGAGTTGTTTTTGGTCATTTGCTGGCCAATTTTATAATACACAACTGGTTTTGAGCAGTGGCTGTTTTTGGCATGTACTGCTGCAAGATGAGAATCACAGCCACTCTGGAGCAATTCATTAGGACACCTGCACACCAACACTTCATCCCCAACACTATGACCAAGCATATCCCCAAAGGGGGGGAGCCAGTTCCTGAGCAGTTGATCTAATGGTCTCAGGAACACTGTTTCTATCCATCAAAAAATCAAATGCACATAACTGTATAGGATGCAGTAGACAGAAATTGTTGTTGTTCTTTGCGCCTGTTGGATGAGGAGGACGGAAACTTGGTCAGCTACTGAGCCTTGGGTGGAAAATCAATTCGCAACCAAATTGTCTCCAATTGCAATGATAAGATGCAGTCCTACTAATTAGATAATTCTTGTTACATTATACCAATTGGATTTACCAAGAGAAGCTTCCTTCCTGCTGGTGTTCTTGCTGCATTTGCTGCTGAATCCAAAACTTTCTTACATTTTTGCCCTATTTGGAAGATCAGTAGTTAAAGTTAGAGTTCTTCCTCCCTGAAAATAATATTTGGTGACCTTACTAAGAAGAGTGAGCGCTTTGTAATGTCACCCTTGCCTAGTTTTAGAATGCTTTGGTTGTGGAGATATTGTAATTCCCATGGTCATGTCGAGGTGGATTTGTTTGGTGACTGAAGACTGAAGGTTGCGTCGTGTAGAACCTGGTAGCGTCCCCACGGCTTACAGACAGGACCGTTGTTAAACCCGTACGTACGGTACGGCTGGGGTCATAATTTATTTTAGACCCCTACGGTAAGGTAAGTCGTATCGTATCATACGTACCATACCTGTCCGCGTACAATTCCGTGTGGTACTATAAAAGTTTCCGCGCCGCATTTTTGGGCAGAACTCTATCGTCGGGAAGGTCGCGCCAGATGTTCACAAGCCTGCGAACCGAACATACGCGAGACAAAAACGGTGCTAGGATCCCAGTACAGACTCTTACACGATTCTACTATGGAGTCAATGCACCGTGTCTTGGGACTCGCAAATTGTCGCGTTGTATTTTCCAACCGTGCAAAAACACGCAGAAAAGTACGTAGCGTTATAATGCCGTGTAATTCATAATCTAAGAACAACAGTAACTCTGTGTTTGAGGGAAGAATCACCATCTCAAACTAGATTAATTGAAATATAACCATGTCTTACTACGAAACAGTCGAGGACATCGAAGAGAGCGAGGGGGAAGAAGTTGAGGAAGAAAGTGAGGAAGAGGTGGAAGATGTTCCTAAGCGCCGCAAGCAAAAAAAATGGAAGGTAAGATTCTTTCTTGTGATTGATTTATTCGAAGTCGAGTTCGGGACGTCACGGATTTCTTTATATCTCTAACTTGACGATGGGGATCATCTACAATTGAACACAGGATCCGAATAAGCCCAAGAGAGCCATGTCGGCTTTCTTCTGCTACTCGCAGGCTGAGCGTCCTAACGTGAAAGCGAACCACCCTGATGCTTCCTTTGGAGATGTGTAAGTTTAAACAGTCATCGTCAACATCGTTTTCCGATTGTATTGAAATGGTCATTTTGATCGTGTGTTTATGTTTGTTATCTTGGTGTGGAATTTTTTTTGCTATGGCACCTGTATGTGTGACTGTTGGTGGTGGTAATATTGCGTTTTTACTCGTACTGTATTGCGGTGTGTGGAAGTGTGATCCTCGATTGTCATCGTACATCGCGATAACAGCGTGTCATCAACGCCTCCGCACAACGCACACAGCATCGTGAGGGCCCCAAAACTAACGGGGAAAGCACGGAAAACGAGGTTGAACGATGAGAACGACGAGCTGGTTTGAATCCGTCGTTAACATTACGTCGTAGGCCCTGGTAGATTTTCTACGATTGTTTTTCAGAACACTTTTACACATTTCGCTGTCCACATAGCTCAATCCAATCACAGTGTCTTCTTCGTTTCGCGCGAATTTATTTCGCGCGGTAAAATTTATTTTTCCGTACACACACGACTCCCGAAGTTTCCTGCAGTCACGGTTACGAAGTGAATTAGATTGATTCGGAATAAACAAAATTTCTTACCTCCGTTCTTCTCTCGTCAATCTTCCAACACCAATCCTTCCACATTCAGTGCCCGTATCCTGTCGGCACAATACAAGGCCCTCTCCGAAAAGGAGATGAAGAAGTACATCAAGAAGGCAGAGCAAGATAAAATCCGCTATCAGGAGGAGATGAAGCACTATGTTCCCATGGATGATCCAACAGGGGGCAAGCGCAAGAAGGCCAAGAAAGATCCCAACGCACCCAAGAGAAACATGAGTGCTTACTTTTTGTTTTCGGTAGCTGTCCGTCCGACGGTCAAGGCGGAGAATCCTGATGCCGCCTTCGGTGATATTGCCCGCATTATTTCTGCCCAGTACAAGGCACTCGGTGCCAAGGAACGCGAGAAATGGGATTCTAAGGCCGCAGCCGATAAGGAGAGATACCAACGCGAGATGGAGGCGTACCGAGCTGGTATGTAAGCACATTCATAATTATTTTGAGTGAAAGAGGAGTTGATATTTCATTCGTTCGTTGGACATGCACTACATCATCCAAGCCATTTGTTCGCGGTTTCACCAAGAATGTCCATGTCAGCATTACCGTGAAATCCAAGATATCTTCGTGCCGTACTATTCCATTCTCGTATACATTCCATTATATCATATCATGAAACTTATGCTTGGGGAGCATGTCTTACCAGGGGCGCAGGGTTCGTTGCTTTCGTTGACATAACTAAGTAATCAATACAACTGATAACATATAAGCAGTACTTTATTTGTATTCCGTTCCACCGTACTGGTAGAACACATGTTTTACATGGCATGTGATAAGGGCAGAGTAACAGTGAGGAGACTTGGATGGCGGAGTATTGGTCGGAGTTGTTTCACGCGTTCATGCCTCTTGAAAGAACCAAACCTTGGTCTTCCGATACTGAAATAGTGCTGCACCGCGATAAATGAATTGTCTTAAAAAAATTGGAAATTTTCTTTTGTTCTGTACTCGCACAGTTCAGGTTCGTTTGAATCGCTTGTTTATCTTGAACCTTACGTTAGTATTACCGTGTTAATCGATCTTTTCCTCTTTGAGCCCCTGCGACAACGACGCCAGTTGGTATGTGAAGAATCCCATGATGGACGGAATCTCCTGCAGACCGTACGGTCGGAATTTCCCCAAAAATATGAAAAGCACGATCAGAAAGGCAAACCGTGCTTGTCCGACACCGGCTCCTTCCACAGCTCCAGCGTCATCAATAGATCCGCCTACCGTCGACACATACTTTCCGAGACCGTAGGTGTACATAGTGCCAAAGATCGAACCGAAGAGAAACGACAACGGGGCGAACGGATTGTCAGAAGCAAGCCACAACAGGCTGAATATCAATGCCGAGAAGAAGGCAGTCTCTGTAACCAGGGCGGTTTGAATCTTGTCGTAGTTTTTCTTGTTTTCTTCTTTCAKGGATTTGTCGTTTTCTTCGGTCAATTCGTTCATGAGGTCGCGTTGCTGTTGCCAAAAATCAGCTCTCTCGTTTTCATTTTCTGCCATGCACAATCTTGTGTGAGCATTCTGGCTGTTCTTATCGCAACCAGTGTCTCTTGAAAACGAATATTTGGGTGCCAAAGTGGAGGTTCCTGTGCAATGGTACTGGAAAGGTTGAAAAGAAGCGACATCGCAAACGTTTTGCTGCATCATCAGCAGCAAAAGAGAACAAGCAACAAACGACTTCATCTTTTGAGGTATTCCCTTCTTTCCTTTAATCTGATCTATGTGCTTTTGCTATCAAAATTGGTTGGTCGTTCTCTTCGTGAGAGTTATCCTTCTTTCTAGTTGGTTGAAGTACCGTACGAGTGCGATACTTTTACTGTATACGTAAAATGCAACTAAAATTGCATTATCATTATTGCCTCCATGCAACCAAAAAACACTACTGAATAGGCCTAACCCCTAAATACCGGTGTACGGCTCTACTGTACTACTGTTTTTTTGACCGTATTGTTTTTTTTGTGTGCAAAATAGTTAGAAGAAACGGTATTGAGATTTTATGTACTACTCTTACTCAGTAGCTTGTTTGTTGCATTCTCGACCGTTGAAAACACGCACTCAGTGCAATAATACAACGTGGTCCCCCCGTGGTGGGCTGCACATGAAAACTTGAGCTTATTATTATTATTCCTTTAGCAGCAACAAGCAACAAGCAACAAGCAAACAGTAACAAGATGACACCACCAGCACAACAAGATGGACGCGGGCCCGGAGGACGCGGACGACCAGTAGCAGCAGCAGTACGTGCAGGAGCACGGAGAGCAGTCGTCGGACGATGCGGACGTCGTGGCAGGAGACAACAAGAACAAGAAGAACAAGCCCCTCCCCCCAACTTGTTCAGGGTTGCCCATGAAGCTTTGGAAGAAGCTGCACGTGAGCAGCAAGAAGCCGAGGAACTGGTGCAACAGCTTCGAGGAGCAACAGGAGGAGGACGCGGAGGACGTGGAGGACGCGGAGGACGCGGAGGACGTGGAGGACGTGGAGGACGTGGAGGACGCGGAGGACGTGGAGGACGTGGTGGTGGACACGGACGCGAGGAGGCAACAGGAGCAGTTGCTGGTGGACGCGTTGCTGCTGGTGGACGTGTTGCTGCTGGCGTTGCTCCTGCTGGACGCGTTGCTGCTGGACGCGTTGCTGCTGGACGCGTTGCTGCTGGACGCGTTGCTGCTGGACGCGTTGCTGCTGGACGCGTTGCTGCTGGAGATGATCCTGAGGAAGCTGCTGCATTGGAAGAGCTCATAGGAATATTGGATGCAGAAGAAGAGAAGGAAGAAGAAGGTGATTTTTTTGTTGCTGCTGAGGATGAGGATGCTGGTGGTGGTGGTGACAACGATGCTGATGGAAGTGAGAGTGTTAATAGCCAAGGAGCAACAGCAACAAGAAGCAGGCCACGTCCTGGGTAAGCTCCTAAGCCACCACCAGGTGTCAATATTCCAGGGCAATGGCCAACTTACCACAGGAGGTTCCTAAGCTTCATGGATTTTGTACATGGAAGGCGAGATGGAACAAGTGATAATCCTCCYRCTGAAGATTCAAGATTTCCAAGGGATTACGTGTTTAGCGATGATGAGCTTTCTAACATCACACCTGATCATGTTTATAGATTCCTTGCACTACAGGCTTATAAGAAGGAGGATCCAACTCCTGATGACAACCCAATTCATGCTAGGTCTAATTCTGTAGAATATACAAAGAAAGGTATTTCGTATTTTCTTCCAAACAAGAGTATTAAGTGGACAGTTCTCCAAGGTGTTGGACATGGCAATCCTACACAATCTACTAAAGTGAATAATTTAATTGCTGCAATTAAACTGAAGGAAACAAGGGGGCTTGGGAAGCCAACACAGATGGATAGGGCTCTAACGAGGAGTGAGTTTTTGCAAGCCCTGGATCTTCTAGAAAATCAGGGTTCTGTGATAAATAGGAGACGATTTATAGCAATGATGGTAGTGCAAACACACTTCATAGCTCGTAATGATGATATGGCTCATATAACAAAGGATTCTTTGAAGGCTTGCTCTAGATTYCCTGAATTTTTGACCTTGAAGATGAAATGGTCAAAGAATGTGAGGGAGGAGAGAGATTGCCCTGATCAAATTTTGATGGGCTCTATGAATCCCAAA